TGGATCCAGCTGAATAGGGCAGAATATTTCCCTGGTGCAGAAATAGTTCCATTAAATTTCAAGTCACCTGAAATTCTCTCCATGCCCTGAAAGAAGAGTTACTTTTAATGCTTAGTATTGCAGCAGTTTCATGTTTTTGCATCTATTTTGGTTCATTAATAATCTTAGCAGTTTCTGGCCAGTTTCTTTGTGACCTTTAGGCCTGAGCTAGCCTTTTTGTTCTTTTTCTTCTTCTCAAATGGTCACTCGTAGTGCTGCATATCTTATACCTCTCCTGATGCGCTCTCCATAACCCTCTCACTCTGTATCCCTCATGGCAGGTCTCTGCATCTATTTTGTGTAACTCTGCAGGGCATCAGTGGTATGTCTGAAGTTTTTTGACTCAATTTCTGAGCAGCAAGTGCTTTTCTCTGAACCATGGTGTCATGAGTTTACCTTGGCTAAGGGCCAGGCTGCCACCCAGCCCCTCTCACACTCCCTCACCTCAACAGGGCAGGGGGAGAAAATAAAAAAAAGAGCTTGGGAGTTGAGATAAAAACAAGGAAATCACCATGGGCAAACCAGCCTCGACCTGGGGAAAACTGATTTAATTTAATGTCAGCTAAAATAGGTGTGGATAGTGAGAAACAAAACAAATTTGAAACAACACCTTCTGCTCCCCATCTCAGCTTCACTCCTTTGTTCTCTGTGTCCCCCCAGTGGCACAGAGGGTTGGATGTTGTGGTTGGTCTATAACAGCTCCTCCCTGCTGCTCCTTTCCCTTGCTCCAGCTGGGGTGTCTCCCTCAGGTGACAATTCCTTGAGGAAAAATCTGCTCTAGCATGAGCTCTCTAGAGAACACGGTTCCTTCAGGGAATATCCACCTGCTCCCCTGGGGTCTTCCCTGCAGGCAGCTCTCAGCTCCAGCTCCCAGAGCACCTCCTCCTTCAACCCTGACCTGGTTGTTTGCAGGCTGCTCCCTCACTTTTTGTCCCCTCACTCCTCAGTGCTCTGGTATTTTTTGCCCTTCTTTCTTCAACACTCTTTCACAGC